AGGCACTAGCAGCTCCGCCTCTCCCAGCACAGCTACGTCAGGCAGGAGGACCTTGGGTAATTAATGTAATTCACTCGAAGGTTAACAAAAATGAAATTAGGGGGGGGACCCAGAAAGTGAAGCACTTGTAACATGTCTACCAAGTCGGGGAAAAGAGACATCGGGCAGAGGAGTGCCAAGGACCAGTAGTGTCCTTTTCTAAAGCCGACCTTGAGATGGTGCAGCATCTGCATAATAATGCCTTGGTAGTATCCCTCCAGGTCGGGGAATGCCAAGTAAAGCGCATCCTGATCGACCAAGGTAGCTTTTGTGACATCATGTACGTCCGATGTTACAAGGAGCTCGGCCTTCACCCAAGCGATATGGAGCAACCCAATAGCCCAATGGTCGGGTTCAATGGGACGCCAATATGGCCATTGGGAATAACCAGCTTGGAGGTGCAGGCAGGCACCAGGAAGATAACAACAGAGTTCACCATAATCGACACACCCTCCCCTTACAACATCATTTTGGGAAGACCATGGTTACATGCAATGGGAGCTGTTCCCTCAACATTGTATCAACTATTGCGGTTCCCAACAGAGCATGGGATTGAGGAGGTCAGAGGAGATTGACTGTAGGCAAAGAATTGCTCCATGGCAACAATGAAATCCACCTGCAGCATAAGAGAACCAGAGAAGGCAGAGATCGAAGACGAAGACATGGAGGTCTTAGAGGATGTTGGCAAGGAGCCAGCCAAGAAGAATGAAGAAGCACTGAAGAAAATCCTTGTCCAGGAGGGGGATAAAGAACGTTTCTTTCTTCTCGGCTCGGGCTTAGCTGAAGAAAAGGAAAAAGAGTTGGAAGCTTTTTTTAGAGCAAATATTGATGTGTTTGCTTGGACACCTTATGAGATGCCTGACATTGACCCCGAGGTCACTTGCCATAAACTGAATGTTGATAGATCGGCAAAACTAGTAATCCAACGAGCAAGAAGACCGACATTGATACACGTCGAAGCAGTGGAAGAGGAAGTAGACAGACTTCTGGAGGCTAGGGCCATTCGATAGGTAAATTACCCGACATGGCTATCAAACACAGTGGTGGTGAAGAAAAAGAATGGTAAATGGAGGGTCAGCGTAGACTTTACCAGCCTGAACAGAGCCTGTCCCAAAGACAGTTTTTCTTTACCCAAGATTGACCAGCTGGTAGACTCCACTTCGGGGCATGGAAGGATGAGCTTCCTGGATGCATACAGGGGGTACCATCAGATAGCCATGTACCCCCCAGATGAAAAGAAGACTGCGTTTATCACCTCAAAAGGTCTGTACTACTATAGAGTGATGCCTTTTGGGTTGAAAAACGCAGGAGCAACTTACCAAAGACTAGTAACCGAGATGTTCAAGCACCTGATTGGCGGAATGGTAGAAGTTTACATCGATGATATGGTTGTGAAGACCAAGGAACCTAAAGGTCATCTGGCCGACCTGAAAGCAGTCTTTGACATCCTTAAAACATATCGACTCCGACTCAATGCATCGAAGTGTGCATTTAGAGTAGGATCTAGTAAGTTTTTGGGATACCTGATGAACAGAAAGGGCATTGAGGCCAGCCCAGATAAGATTAAGGCCATCTTGGAGTTGAAGAGCTTGACGTCAGCAAAACAGGTGCAAATGCTAACTGGAAAGGCCGCAGCCCTGAATAGGTTCATAAGCAGAAGCTCAGACAAGTGCACACCTTTCTTCAACTTAGTGAAGAAAGCCACGGATTTTTTATGGACAGAAGAATGTGAGGTTGCCCTGGCCGACTTGAAGAAGTATTTGACCACAGCTCCAGTTCTTTCAAATCCAGAACCTGGGGAGGAGTTGTTTTTGTACTTAGCAGTTTCAGAACACGCAGTAAGCGCAGTAGTAATCCGAGAAGAAAAAGAGGAGCAAAGGGTTGTTTACTATGTAAGCAAAACCTTGGCCGATGCAGAAACAAGATATCTACCCTTAGAGAAATTGGCACTGGCTTTAGTAATGGCTTCAAAGAAACTGAACCATTACTTCTAGGCCCACAAAATTATGGTACTAACTGAACACCCCTTGAAGTCCTTCCTGCAACAAGGAGACCTGACAAGAAGAATAGCCAGATGGGCAGTGGCCTTGGGACAATATGATTTGGAGTACAGACCCAGAACAATAATCAAAGGCCAAGTTTTGGCCGACTTCATAGCTGAGTTCACACCAGAATCCATTGAACATCGGGCTCCGTTGAGTCGAGGTGAACGATGTCCAAGCAAGCAAGGAGAAACCCAGCCGAATGCAACAGAACAAAGGAAGAAGGAAAAACTCAGACCCTGCAGCATTTATATCGGCAACTTCTTTCGACTGTTTGTCAATGGAAGCTCAAACCGACAAGGAGCGGGGGCAGGAGTGGTGCTGGTATCTCCAGATGGAGATATATTGGAATAATGCATTCGATTGGGGTTCAAGGCCTCAAACAATGAAGCAGAGTATGAAGCATTGATTGTAGGACTAAAGCTGGCAGTAGCAGCAGAAGCAGATGAAGTGATAGTCTTCTGTGACTCCCAGCTCATAGTCAACCAGACAACGGACAAGTTTGCAGCCCGAGATAAAATGATGTCAGCCTACGCAAAGGAAGTCAATAGGTTAGTGGCCTTATTTCAGAATTGCTAACTACATCAGGTTAGCCGAGATGATAACAGTCACGCCGATGCACTGGCCAATCTGGCTAGCACAATACAACCTGGAAAAGTAAGGACGATAATGGTCGAATACCTGTTGGGCCCGAGCATTGCACCACCGATCGCAGAGCACGAAGCAATGTGTGTAGATATGGGACCAAGCTGGATGGATGCAATTGTAGCATTCTTAAAGGAAGGGAAGTTGCCAGATGACCACAAAGAGGCGCACAAGATTAGATTGAAGTCGGCAAGATTCAGTCTGACAGCAGAAGGACATCTCTACAGAAGATCCTTCATTGGACCCCTTTTAAGGTGTGTACATCCTTCACAAGTTGAAGATTTTTTTATATGAAATACATGAAGGAATTTGTGGAAGCCACACCGGGGGCAGATCACTAGTCCATAGGGCTATTACCCAGGGGTATTGGTGGCCCTACATATAGAAAGATGCAGAGGCCTATGTCAAGAAATGTAAAAAATACCGAAGGTTTGCACCACTGATACACCAACCAGCAGCAGACTTGAACCCAGTATCCAGTCCTTGGCCATTTGCCCAATAGGGCATGGATCTCGTTGGGCAACTGCCCCAAGCAACTGGACAAAGGAAGTACTTACTGGTAGCAACAGATTACTTCACCAAATGGATAGAAGCCGAAGCCCTGGCCAAGATCCGAGATGTGGACGTGAAGAACTTCATATGGAGAAATATCATTACCAGATTTGGGATTCCAAGAGCAATAGTTGCCGATAATGGAACACAATTTGATAGCAAGCTAATCAAAAGCTTCTGTGCAAAATTCAAGATCAAGAATTATTTTTCAGCCCCAAGCTTTCCTCAAAGCAATGGACAAGTAGAAGATTCCAACAAAGTTATCCTGGATGGAATAAAGAAGAGGCTGCAAGCAGCGAAAGGAAAATGGGTGGATGAACTGCCAAGTGTACTCTGGGCATATCGAACTATGCCGAGAAGATCAACAAGGGAATCCCTCTTTGCCATGGCTTATGGCATAGAAGCTGTCATTCCACTGGAGGTCGGCATCCCAAGGATTAGAACCCAGGGAGTAGAGAATGGGACTAATGATGTACTCTTAGCCCGAGATCTAGATCTACTAGAAGAAAGAAGGAAAAGGGTTGCAATTATACCAACAGTAGCTTGCCAGGGCTTACAATAAAAAAGTTAATCCAAGAGAGTTCTAAGTCGGCAACCTAGTCTTGAGAAAAGTCGTCGGCAACAAGAAGGATTCCAGGGAAGGCAAGCTTGGCCCAAACTGGGAAGGACCCTACAGAATCACTTCGGTATTGGGCAACGGGACATATCGGCTTGAAGATAATGAGGGCAAAGAGTTGCCAAGACCCTGGAATACTTGTAATCTGAAGTTTTTCTATCATTAGACTTTCCTTGTTTTTTGCCGACGTACGGAATAAAATTTTAGCAGAATTCTTCTATATTTATGACTGATAAGATACTTGCCGATGTTTCAAAAATACATGCATAATGAGAACCCAAGTGGAACTTAGGTTCACATTAGGGGGCAGAGAGAAGAGAGATGATGTTTAACACTTGTTGAAATTCTGAGAGAATTTACAAGTTGAAGTTAAACTGAAATGATGTTTAACACTTGTTGAAATTCTGAGAGAATTTACAAGTTGAAGTTAAACAGAAATGATGTTTAACACTTGTTGAAACTTGAGAAAAGTTTACAAGTTGAAGTTAAACCGATATGATGTTTAACCCTTGTTGAAACTTGAGAAAAGTTTACAAGTTGAAGTTAAACCGATATGATGTTTAACCCTTGTTGAAATTTTAAGAAAAAATTTTCAAGTTGAAGTTAAACCGAGATGATGTTTAACACTTGTTGAAACTTAGAAAGTTTACAAGTTGAAGTTAAACCGAGATTATGTTTAACACTTGTTGAAACTTAAAAAGTTTATAAGTCGAAGTTAAACCAAGGTTAAAACAATTGTTGAAATTTTATGAAAAAATTTACAAGTGAAACCAAGGTTGTACCAAGAAAGATACTTGGGTACTTGCCGAGGTAAATCATTAGTTTGTATAACCGAGGTGTTCCACCTCGAGAAGGTTGCACAAAGATTGAAGTATACATTAAAGATATGCAAAATATTCTAAGTATGGAATAACACAAGAGCAATAAAGAGAAGACAAAGATACAAGCATTCAGAAAAGAGAGTTATATTAAAAAACTGACACATCGGCCAGAGCTTACACTATCTTAAAAGAAAAACAAAAGTACAGAGCACAGAAGAAAGAGAAAAACATGAAATTAAGACTCATCACATCATTAGCAGGCTGGGTTTGGACCTCGGAGGACTGCTAAGAAGACATCTCGGCGGCCTTCTCAGTCGCAAGCTCAGCGTCAATTTCTTGGAGGGTTTCGTCAAGGCTCTTGTCAACAAGGGTCACGTCGGCTGATGCCTTCTCAGCGGTAGCATCTTTGGGAACCTCCTCAACCTCCTCATCTTGAGTCAAGTCTAGGACTTGCTCATTCAGAAAAGGGGACTTGGCCCTAGCAGCGTCTTTTGACTTCCTCACCAAAACCTCCTCCTCAGATTCAGAGTCGTCATCAGATTGAGTTGGAGTTTGAGGGAATGGAAGAGGAATGGCATCGGCGTTCCTGAAGGGCGAGTCCTCGGGGACTTTAAGCTTTTTTAGAAGAGACATCTAACCAAGGGTAAAACCCTTGTTGCATGCCTGCTTCACTTGCTTTTCATAGTCCGCCGTGACATCAGCCACCTCTTCGTTGTAGCCCTTCTCATCGGCTGCCTTGACTTCGGCCTCTTTTGTGGCCAGATCATCTTGCAATTCTTTTTGGGCCTGGGCCGTTTTCTCCTCGGCATCCTTCTTTTCGGCCTCAAGCACCTTTTTGATGGCCTCAGTAGAGTCTGCCTTTTCTTCGGCGTCATTTTGAGCTTTGATGGTAGCCTCAGCCTGATCCTCCAAAGTCTTCATCTTTGACTGCAGATTTTTGTTAGTCTTTTGCAGACTGGAGACCTTCCTCTTCTTCTTGGCCAGCTTCTCCCGATTTTGGAAAGATTGTACTGAGAAAGAATGGGCATGCTGGATGGCCTGGAAGTAAACAGAAGTTATTAGAAAATATTGTAAGTATGTAATGAAGAGAAAGAAGGAAAAAATTCCCAATAAAGAGACTTACCTGAACAGAGTGTTGGTGCATCAGAGCATAGTTCTCATACTCGCTCATCTCGGCGTTTCGGTCGAGATCGCCCGGAAGGAGGAGAGCGATACTAAGGGCAACGCCGACGTTAATATCTTCAGCACTATCACTGGCCCTAACTAGTTTATCCTCCAGTGTGATTTTGAGGGCCTAGGGGGCATCATGCTTTTGAGACCCCGAGGTCATTGTAGAAGATGACCTCGGCCTTTTTGATCTAGTGGATTCGAATGGGTGTGTTTCAGCAGACCTCTTCTTGGGGACAGAGGCAGTCTTCTCGCTCTTAGCCAATCTGGAAATTGGCAAGGTGTCCTCAGTATCAACCTGAGTCACCTTTTCCTTTGGCTGAGCTTTTTTGCTTTGGTGGAGGCTGGGTTTGTGTTGGCTGAGCGTCAACGTCAGAAGGGATACTGGCTAAGAGGTCTTTTATGACAGCTTTCTGGCGACCCATCTCGGAAGAAAAAGCAGTTCGTCACCGACGTTGTCGCTGAGATGGTGGAATCAGGTATGGAGCCGAGGTTGACGGCTGCTCAGCAGGATCGGAGGTTGATCCTTGGTCTGTCCGAGATGTGGATGCGACTTGTGAAGTTGTGGCAGAAGGTGGAGAAAGACTTTTCTTTTTCTTTTTTGGGACGTCAGGAAGAGCCGACTTATAAGTGGGGATGAAGTTGAGAAGCAGAGGGGCTTTCCCCTTGTGGACTGGCAAATTCAGTTGTTTCTTCAAGTCTTTGCTGGGAAAGAAAGACTGACGGAAGGCCTTTTGTGGCTGAGGGAGAACTGCAAAAAAGAAAAAAGTGTAGACATTAGAGCAGAATGTTGAAAACTTTATGCAAGAAAGCAAGAAATTTTGTGAAGAGTGGCCCTTACCAGCTCATTCCTCAAAAACTGTTCGACTTAGGGGATAAAGATGGAGGCCATCGTTTGGCTGAAACTCCCAGTTACCCGAAACGATGAAGTAATCATCCCCCGTTCCCTTCTTGGAGTCAGGGAGGTCGGCAACGATTTTGTACTCCGTGGACCTCAGCTTAAGGTAATAGATGTGGCCTTTTTTTGATTTCAAGCGACACATGGTATAACAGTACTAGAAATCAGTAAGAGTAATCCTAGTGTTCTCTTGTTTGGCTAAGGCTATGGTACCATTAGTAACTCGGTAAGAATTGATGGCATGCTGCATTGGATTCAACCTATAGAAATGAAGGATTTCACAGAAAAAATGGTCAAGTGGAAACCTAAGTCCACACTCAATAAACGCTACTACTAAGAAAGGCATGAGGTTTACATCAGGCATGATAGAGTCATCTTCCCCAGCCAACCTCAGATGAATGTCGGCTGGGATTTCGAACTCCTGTCTAAAGTGTTCTAATTTGGCCGGGGTGTCTACCCTATGCTTCCACACACCAATGATATCGGCTAAAATTATGGGAGCTAGATTTCAGGAAGAAGGAGTTTAAGGTTTTCTAAAACTTTTTGGGTTCTATAAACAAATCCCAAAACCTAGATCTAAGGAAACGATGATTGAATGCACGGATCTGGAAAACAGAAAAACAGGGATGCGTTTTAGAATCAAGAATGGTGATAAAGCCATCAAGAAATCAAGACAAAAAGTTTGCAAAGGTGTATCAGGCCAAGAACAGTGGCAGAAATCAACAGGAGTGTGAACAGTCTATATTCAAGAAGACGATTTGGGAAAAAAAAAATCATGAAACAAACGCGTTCAAATATAGGGTGGAATACACGATGCAAGATGAAATATCAAAAATATGAACAAGATTGCAAAGACAGTAGGTAAAACAGTAAAGTTCAGTAAGGTTACAAGAAACTGAAAACCAGGAGAAATAGTGGCTTACCAGAAAGAGGGAAGCCGAAATGGGGATTATCGAAGTCTGACGATGGTTGTAAAGGTGGAGGATCTGTGAAAATCATGCCGGAAGGAGTAAACGGAGCAAGTTGCAAAGTTATGGAAGCTTGAACAATGGGGTATTCAGAAGCTAGAGAGAGTTGAGAGCTTGAGGATACAAAAGTGAGAAAATAAGGAAAGGGGGAAAAGGTTTTGTTAAAACTTGAAACGGCGGCAAAACAGAATTAATGCGCCTAAAACAACGTGAGCGTCTAGAACAACGCGAGACGATTTAGAAGCGCGTACCAAGTACGATCCAATAAGAAAAGGACACATGACGGAAACGGTTGAATTGTGATGCATGACAGCTCATATACGTGAAGAAACTCTTGGAATTCTTGATCTTTAAGAAGACATGTCGGCCTATAGCGATGAGCTCGGCTTAAGCCGATGTACTAGCAGGAAATACCGAAATAGGTTCCATCACTTCAGAATGCCAAGGTAATAGAACCTAGGGGGCAGTTATGGGTATATATTTTTTGAGTCCCAACACGTGGCCAAGGTGACGCCGACGTGTCAGCCGAGGGGCCACATGTCCAGGTTATGATGCCGAGGTTATCTCGGTTAGGCCGACGTTATCTCTAAAGATATCAGAATTCAGAATAAGCAGATAAGGGACAAGAGTCCTAAAATGATAGAGGACTTCAGTTTGGGTAAAGATAAGACTCTTAGAGAGTTTATCCCAATCCTACTAGGAGTCCAAGATTAGCAATAATCCTAAGTTCATTGAAGTTAGGCTTCTATTAGGACTAGGTTTGTGTTGGCTATAAAAGAGAGACACCTTCATGGGTCTAAGGTACGCAATTTATATTATGAACAGTGAGTTTAGCACTATTGATTATCTTTGAGAGATATACTGACTTGATCGTCGGAGTGCCCCCGGGTGGACGAACCACTGCCGGAATCTTCTCTTTCTATTGCAGGTCAGCCAGGTGTCATCTATTTTGCCAGTTCTCTTCAACTGATTACTGAGTTGGCAGTCTTTTATTAAATCTTATGACTTATTATTATTATTTTTTAGGTATGACAAAAAATGATTTAGTAATGACATTTGTGATAATCAACACCACAAATGTTAGAACTTGCGTATGATGTACACATCGTTTTGAGTATTTGTATTTTACAATGACCCTTGTTATATATATATATATATATATTTTTAAAGCAGCAACAAAAAAAAAAACCTATAAGAATTTTATTTATTTATTTATTTATTATCGGTGATTGACTCATAAATCTTAAAAGGTGAACTTGTAGATCAATCAATACCAATTTTATTTTAATGAACACAGAAGTTCCATTGAATTGGAATTGACACATTTACCCATTTGGTTTACCATATTAATCACATTTGGAAAATACACTAGTCATATTTGAAAAAGGTACACTTAAGGCTTTTTTATTTGTTATGTATCAGCCACATTTGAAAAATACAATAAGGGTCATGTTTGAAAAATATACTAGCCACATTTCACGTCTGGAAAAAGTACTAGTCATGTTTGAAAAAAATACACTAAGGCCTTTTTATTTGTTATATATTAGTCACGTTTGGAAAATACACTATAGGCCACATTTGGAAAATATACCCCGTTTGGGAACAGGCTAATTTAGTAACTTTTTGGCTATTTGGCTAAAATATGAGCTAAAAAAAACTAGAATGCTTGGGATGACTTTTTAGCTTTTTACGAAAAGATGTGCAAAAAGTAGAGAGAAAAGAGAATCTTTGACTTTTTGGTATGAGTTGTTGGCTTTTTAGCTAATTTAGTAACTTTTTGACTAAAAAGTTCGGTTGTCATCACGTTTCGCATTTGGAAAAAGTACGCTAAAAGTTTTGTTATTTGTTTTGTATTAGTTATGTTTGGAAAATGTAACACATTCCAAAAAAAAAGTCCAACAATCAATAAGGGCAAAAACATTTTAACATGACACAATAATATATTAAATAGGATCTCATAGAAAATATTTCTAAATGAACAGGATCTACCAACTTATTAAAATAAAATAAAATAAAAATAAAAATAAAAAACTTCATGGTATATAGATTTCTAAAATTGGATTTTTAAATAATTTTTTCATTTTTTTTTTATCATTAACCATAAAGATGAACCCAATATTCATATAAATGTGAGAATAATATTCTTTTGTTGATAAAAAAAAATTAATATACATGCAAGACTCAAGCCTTTCTACCTATTGCTAAATGAATATGCATGAACCCCACAACAATTTCTAACTTGGAAAAAATTTTCACTCATTGTATAGCGGTGAATTTTTACTAATATAAAAAATTGTTGTAGAGGTGTTTTTTAAGAAAAAATTGTGAAGATTAGTACTGCCGCCAAATAACGCGTGTAATTCAGAGACATAAAAAAAAACTCATTTTGACTGCGCCAAATAAATTATTCTCTCATTTTGACCAAAATTTTAATGTCCAATTTTTTTAATGAGTTGAATTATCCTAGCAGCATTATTGGAGACAAAAGATGGTCATTTTCACAAGAATGTATTTACCAAACAATCCTCCATTGAGAAACAAACGAAACAGTCAATGCAACCAAACACGGTGTGATGTGGTACTGCTCAAATTACTTCCACATCACATTTAGTTCCAGTAACTACACCAAGGTCTACCCACCCCCAAGGTGACTCAATGGTAAGGGCGTACACGTGACTGTGTGGGTAAAGCGCACGGTTACAGGTTTGATTCCTCTTGGGATTAGACTTGGGATTTAAATGGGAGCCACAGCGGTGGGTTCCTGTGATTGCTCCCCCCGAGGATTAGTTGGACGGGTCAAAAACCAGAGCCCGGATACCTCGGTCATAAAAAAAAAAAAAAAAAAATCTGACTCTGAAATTGATTTGATTTATGTGCTATTTGGAATTTATAGAATTTTATGGTAAGTTTAATTAAAATTCGATTTGGAACGATTAAATTAGATTAAATTAGTGCCCATTTATTTTAACTTCAATTAACTATACTTTAACCAAGCCCCTATTAGGCACCAAATGAGCCCCACTCATCTCTTTTCTTTCATTTTGAGTACATTTGAGCCTCTTCAAGGAAGAAAAACACGAGAAATGGAGAGTAGGGAGAAATCGAGCTCAAACAAAGAATTGGCTAGGAAATTGAAGGAGAATTAGAGAATTGAGCTAGGATTCACCAAGAGCCCAAAGAATCGAAGACTTTAGGTAAGAAACCAAACATTTAGTCTTGAAGTTGAGTTGATTCACCCATGAATTTAAGTGAATTGAGCTAGGAAATGTGTGAACCGAGCTTAAGAAGTAGGAAGGGAGAGCAATTCAAACATGCATGTACATTTCATTACATTTGGAGCATGTTTACTAAGAATTCTCTCATGCATGTCTTGACTTCATCTTAATTTTGTGAAATCATCAAGTTTTATGATGTTTTGTAACATTTGATCATGTTTTGAGAAGTTGGAGTTTAAGGAAATTCATGCATGTTATGTTCATAAAACATTTATAAAGTTTAATTTGAATTTTTGAACAATTGGCATGCTTTTGGACCTTGATTTCATGAAATGATCTTCAAAGCATGATGTTTTGTGAGTTTCTAAGTGTTTTCCAAAATTTTGGCCCAAGAGGATGAGTTTTGAAGTGTCTGGTTTGAGTTTGAAGCTTGGGGATCAAATCTAAAAATTTCAGAATTTGAATCCACGCTCGAGCGTAAGAGTTCACGCTCGAGCGAGCACTCTGAATGCGTGCACTTACGCTTCAGCGACATGATACCCGCTCGAGCGTGAAATGCATATATCCAGAAATTCATATGTTTTGCAGCACGCTCGAGCAACAAAAGTCACGCTCGAGCTAAGGACTGAGCCTTACGCTCGTGCGTGGATCGAGCATCCGTTGAGCGTGAAAAGCAAGCAACCAGTACTTTTTCCAAGTTTACACTCCACTCGAGCGAGAGAAGTCACACTCGAGTGAACCCATACTTTATGTATGTCCGCTCGAGCGAGGAAAGACACGCTCGAGCGTGGACCTTGTTTTCAGCAAAATTTGAAAAATGTTTTCAAGTGCATTGTTGCATCCTCATTCCATCCTAGGCATTCCTAGGCCATGTTCAAGACACTATAATGAGAATAAAGGCTAGAAGCACATTTAGGACAAGAACATGTGTTATGTGCAATTCGAGCCTGTGTTTCAATGTATGTCACTGTCATGTTATGTAGGTCACGCACCTCAGGATAAGTGAGTTGCCTACTCTACTTGTTTACTTGGAGCCATCTGTTAACTGTGAGTAATAACTCTATAAAGCTATGTTTAATTACAAGTATTTTATGACTAATATGATACGATCTATTTTCTGAAATGTTATTTTATGAATTATGAATGAATGTCCATTTTTCTGAAATGTACTTATGGCACCCTTAGTTCACATGGCCCTCGCCCAGGGATAACAATACCGTGGCCAATATGCATGTGGACCTCGCCCAGGGGTGACAATACTGTGGCTTATATTCACGTGGCCCTTGCCCGGGGGTAACAATACCGAGGCCTATATTCATGTGGCTCTCACCTGGGGGTAACAATACCATGGCTACTTGTGCGCAAGATATGGACCTTTATGGTTTTCGGTACCGACTATGCATGTGGGTCTTAGGACCAAGTTGATATGATAGCTAATGAGTGTACCACGTATGATCTTATGCAAATCTGATTATGAATATGAGCATGTATCTCAATCCAATCATGATTTGCAAACTGAATATGCTTAAGACTCTGTTTCCGATAAGAATACGTTTTTGATATAAACTCTGAATTCTAACTCTGTGCTGGACATCATTCATTAAAACCCTTTACCTGGTTATTATTTACTAGGCTCTAGCTCACTGTATTATTTGTATGTATGTAGGTGAGCAGGCACGTGACCAGGCCTGAGATGCTGCCTGGCGAGTTTTGGTGTCAACCAACCATCATGCCTCCTATGGAGGTTCCCTTTTGAGATCTACCCAAGTTTTTGTGTCCTTGGGACTTTGTACTTTCTAAATGCTTATGTCTGGTCTGAACACGTTTGAAAGCTTGTATAAGTGGCTTGGGTGATGTAAGGCTATTGTATTTTCGACGCCACATCTGTATGTATGTATGTATATGAAAAGTTTTAAATTTCCTATTCCATGTATATCTGCACAGCTCTATGGACTATGTATGTTTGTATATTTGCTTCCACAGCCCTTGTTATATATATTATTCTGTTCAGAGGCCTTTGGTAATCCAAGAATTACTGGGCGATTACGATGCTAAACCCATAGGAGCGGGTTTGGGTCGTGATAGTTTGTTAGAGTTGTTGTAACTGATTAGTGTATAAATATCTGTAATGGCTATATTAATGAAATAGAAAAGATGATTTCTTATTCTTGTTATTGTATCAGAGCTTGCTAAGCTCTCACAAGCAAACAATGATAGATTCATCTTCATCATCTGCATCACTGACTTTACCACCAAGTAGTCTCTTAATCTCAAATTTTGGTTCATTCGTTACAGAAAAGCTTGATTTTACAAACTTTCTCATCTAGAACAACTAGATGCAAAATGTTCTTCGAACAACCAATTTTCTTAGCTTTGTGACTGGATCAATTTCATGTCCATCTCCAAATGTTCTTGATTCATCAGGCAAAACAATTCCAAATCCAGAATTTGAGAAATGGCAAGTCATAGATGCTCATCTACTCAATTGCATTACAGCAACACTTTCTTCCTCGATATTCTCTTTTGTTCTTCAGCTTCACCATTGTTCTGAAGTTTGGTCTGCAATTGAGAAGAGATACACTTCTCTTTCTCGATCACATATTCATCAACTCAAACACAAACTTCAGAATCTTACAAAGAAAGGATTTACAATGGAACAATATCTTCATTAGATCAGAGATATTTTACATCAATTAAGTCTTGCATCTTCGACCATTGATGATAAAGATTTGGTTCTTCTTATTTTGAATGGTCTCCTTGGGAGATATGATGCCTTCAAAACTACCATTCGTGCTAGAGCTAAAGCCATTACAATGGAATATTTTTCTTCCTTTATTGTGCTCTGAAGCTATACATATGGAGAACAAGGTCAAACAAGCTCTTGGAGCTGATGCAACTGCTGCATATACTACAACCAAGACATTTGAGTCCAGTTCTTCCTCTTCACATTTTTCTCACCATAGAGGTCAATCTGGATCGAACAGAGGTCGACATCAGTTTCGAGGTTCTCAAGGAGGTAGATATCGTGGTGGTCAATCATATCGCAATGACAGAAACAGATCTAGAGGTTTCTCTTCTACTGGTTTAGGATGTCAGATTTGTGGTGTTCTTGGTCATAGTGTTCTTGACTGTTTGTACAGAATGGATCCAAGTTATCAATCTCATCACCACACAAACTCTTCTCCTACTCTTGCAACATCTGTTCGAGCTTATACTGTACTAACAAATCCTACTTCTTCTTCCATTCCTACCACACCTCCTTGGTATGTTGATTCAGTTGCTACAAATCATATCACAAATGACTTAAGTAATCTTCAGTTGTACCATCCTTATCAAGGCACAGATCAAGTTACAGTAGACAGTGGTCAAACCTTACCTATTCATCATAGTGGTAAGGGTCTTTTGCCTACACCTCAGTGTTCTCTTCATCTCAATGATATGCTCCATGTTCCTCATATTTCTTCCAATTTTTTATCTGTTCATAAGCTTACTAAGGACAATAATTGTTCAGTTACATTTGATGCTACCTCTTTTGTCATTCAAGACAAAACTTCGAACCAGGTTCTGCATAAAGGCTCTAATCATCATGGTCTTTACCAGTTTGCATCCTCTTCTTCATCTCCTAATTCACAAGCCTGCATTACTTACCCTCATTCTCAAGTCTTTATGCCTACTTGGCATCAAAGACTTGGCCATCATTCTTTCTTAAAAATGCAGCATATTATCAAACATTTACTTGTTGCTTCCAAGAATAATAGTGCTGAATTTTCATGCACTCCTTCTAATGTTACTAAGATCCATAGACAACCATTTAAACTTTCTACTACTACTGTTAATAGGACATTTTCTCTTGTTCATAGTGACGTATGGGGCCCTTTTCATGCTTCTACTTCTAGTTTTAAGTACTATCTCTTGTTTGTGGATGACTTTACTAGATTTACTTGGATTTACCCTTTACATGTCAAAAGTGAAGTTTTCTCCACATTTCTTTTTTTTTTTAAAGCTTATTTTGAAAATTAGTTTGCTACTCATCTTCAAATCTTAAGGACTGATAATGGTACTGTGTTTGTTAACAAACAAATGGATGCTTATTTGACTCAACATGGTGTCATTCATCAACTTAGTTGCCCTTACACTCCTGAGCAAAATGGCATAGTTGAGAGAGAACATCAACATATTACTGAGACTGCTATTGCCTTGCTATTGTTAGAACAATCTTTTGTGTAAAATAAATAACTTGAAACAAATTAAACAAAAAATAAATAAATTATAACAAAAAATAAATAAATTATGTACCGAATTTATTTTACCAAACCAAATAAATATTTAAAAGATCAAGTCGAGTGTTTGACACTCTATCCTTAAGATAGATTCTACCCGCTACGGTGCTTACGGATAAAAGGCGTCTATCTCCCAGGATACAATAATTTTCATAAATTGTAGTAGCACTCTAAACAATTTGTGCGGTGAACCTAACCTGTGTTCTATACTCTCAAAGTATTCCCTAAAAATTAATATGAAGAATTCTGCAAAGAAAGAGCAAAATGGGAAAGGAACATATTTTTTCTGGATGTTTTCAGGATGCAACAAACTGCTGGAATGCGCTGGAATATATAGGGCCGAACATGTGTGATTTTAAACAGGAACATATATGAATTCAAATGGAACAGGTGCAACACTGTTTCGAAGGCGGCGCGCACGTGTGTGGTGATTTGAGCCAAGGTTTAATTTGTCCATAACTCATCCCTTCTACAAACTTGGGGTGCCCCTTGGGACCCAACCCAAGTATTGCCACCTCGAACTTATATACACACATAAGTTCTCTTAAGTTTCTAATGTGGGACAAGTCAAACATGGAAACTCACATTTAATTCTTTAATTGTCCATTCCACGAACCCGAAAATGACGTCAACTTTCCATTCACTCATAAATGGTTTTGACGAACCATCATCACTGTGTGACTTGCCATGAGGCAAGGAACACATCACCTCTTTAGACCCACCTCGAAAGACGTTTGGGACCCACTCAAAATTGGGCTTAAAGTTAGCCCAAAATAAGCCTATAAAAACCAAAATTTTCAACAATCCTAAACATGAATGGGGTTTGACGGAGAGAAAATGCAATAACATGATCTAATTACAGAGAGTACAAAAATTGGAAATATTCTGCAAAGGATAGGTAGCTTTTGGTTTTGAACCTTCCCTTGTGAGACACTATCAAATTTACTAGCTAACTAGTGAACATGATGTCTTGAACTGTTCAGTCGTTTGTGTAAACCAAGACAATAGAACTCACACAGTATATCACCAAACACAATTTAGTTCTCACTATTATGGTCATTTTGGCCATGAACAACCTGGTCTTTCATGAGTGCTCTGGAGAATTGTAGCCCTTCACAAATCTCATAGATCCGGCCCAGTTCACGCTTACATAGGTGATTCTTGTGAAGAGTATCCTGCCATACTCCACTAGGTTTACCTATATATAAGAATCATTAACATTTTACTTAACCTAAAATGCTGTAGACTTCACTTTGACTCCCCAGTGATCCTTCTGAGTCATATATAACTTGGTTGTCCCTTTGAACCTAAATCTTGGGATCTCCAGTCAACTAGGTTGGGTTGCTGTTGTGGTAACTCTTATTTAATAGGCTTAAGTCCCATTTCCCTCGATGAATTTTTAACTAACTCTCTTGCTAACCCTTTAGTTAGTGGATCTGCTATGTTGTCCTTAGACTTCACATATTCAATGGAAATAATTCCATTAGAGAGTAGTTGTCTCACGGTGTTATGTCGACGACGAATGTGTCGTGACTTACCGTTATACATATGACTCTATGCTCTACCAATTGCTGATTGACTATCACAATGTATGCATATAGTAGGCACAAGTTTTGGCCACATTGGAAAATCGTCAGAAAGTGGCAAAGCCATTCTGTTTCTTCCCCAGCTTTATCTAAAGTCATGAATTCTGATTCCATAGTAGACTTAGCAATGCAAATCTGTTTGGAAGATTTCCAAGATACAGCCGCACCACCAAGTGTAAAGACATACCCACTGGTGGATTTTGAGTCTCTAGTATCCGATATCCAGTTTATATCACAGTATCCTTCAAATACTGTTGGATATCTAGTATAATTAAGCCCAATGTTACGAGTAAATCTGAGGTATCTTAGAACCCTTGTAATTGTTTTCCAGTGTTATACTCCTAGGTTACTCATATATCTACTTAATTTACCTACAGCATAAGAAATATCCAGGTGAGTGAAGTTCATCAAGTTTATTAAGCTTCCAATAATTTGGTCATACTCTAATTGAGAAATAATGTCCTGTACATTCTTGGAAACAAACAAATTAACAACCACAGGTGTTCTAGCAAGATGATCATCATCTTTGCTGAATTTGTCAAGTATTTTCTCGATGTAATGAGATTATGACAAAGCATAACCTTCTGATGTTTTGGTAATTTTCATACCAAGAATTACATCAGCAATCCCCATGTCTTTCATGTCAAAATGTTTATTCAATATTTTCTTGATAGTTTTAATCATGTCATTATTACTACCTATGATAAGCATGTCATCCACATAAAGACATACTATAACATAACCGTTGTTTGTGTTTTTAATATAAATACATTTGTCACATTCATTAATTTTGAATCCATTTGACATTATTGCTTTGTCAAATTTCTCATGCCATTGCTTTGGCGCTTGTTTTAAATCATATAATGATTTAACCAATTTACACACTTTCTTTTCTAGTTGTTCCATGTAAATTTCTTCATCTAACTCACCATTTAAAAAAACGCTTTTCACATCCATTTGATGAATTTCTAGATTGTGCAAAGATGCAATGGCAATTAGCATTCTAATAGATGTTATTCTAGTAACCGGTGAGTATGTGTCAAAGTAATCAAGACCTTTTTTTTGTCTAAAACCTTTGACCACAAGTCTTGCCTTATATTTGTCAATTGATCCATTCGCTTTCATTTTTCTCTTGAAAATTCACTTGTACCCAAGAGGTTCACAACCTGGTGACAAATCCACTAATTCCCAAGTGTGATTTTGTAAGATGGATTCAACTTCTCTATTTACAGCTTCTTTCCGTAAATGAGCTTCAGGACTAGACATAGCTTCTTGAAAGTTAAAAGCTCATTTTCTAACAAAAATGTTAGAAAATCTGAACCAAAAGATTTTGAGGTTCTAGTACGTTTACTATGCCTAGGTTCCTCTTCCTCATTTTAATCTATCTCTTTATCTTGTTCTTGATCATGTTCTCGATCATGACTAGTAATAGCATCATAAGATTTTTTATTATTACT